ACCCCCTGCCGAGAGCAGGCGCCACTGCCGAGGGTCGGCCACCGCCCGTCTGGCCCGGCTGGGGGCCAGACCATGAGTGCACCTCCGGCCAGCCGCAGCCGCTCCCTCGTCCCGCCGCTCCGCTCGTCCCGCGCTCAGTTTCATCGCAGCCACTCCGCTGCAGCTCCGGGGCCGGCTGAATGTCATCGCCGGTTTAATTTGTCGTGCCCGGCTCGTTAATTAGAAATCCTCCCATTCGGTGTCGAGCCACTTTTTGGGTCGAGGTGTGCCCTTTAACGGGACCCGGCGCCCGGCGCCGGCAACGATTATGTAAATCGTCGCGACGGCGGCGATGGTGGCGCGGCAGTTGCGCCGTGACTCGTCTCATCTGCGCCACAGCCGCCGCCGCTGGTCGGCAGCCTCCCTCGAGAGAGCTGATAGCCACCGAGAATAATTGAGCCGCTATCAGTCCGGACGGGCATTTAAATGGAAATGAATTCCCCGGATAACAGAGAAAATCCACCCGAAAACGGCGCCGCTGTCGTCTCAATCGACCGCCGCCGATTGGCGAGATCGCGTCGGACTCGACGCTCAGCTTTGTCACCCTGCTGCTGGTGGCCGCCCAGCGGCGAGTCGAGGTGAGTCAGTGAGTCAGTGCGAGTCGGATGAGTCGGCAGTGACTCGACACACCAATCTGGCCCGTTATAAAAGCTGCATTAGTGCGACTCGGCTGATTTATTCCGGACGCTGCCGCTGCGTCGAATTGAATCGACGCTGTCCAAGCTGCCCTCCACCCCAGCAATTTGTCGGCATCGTATTGTGGTTGTCACAGCACATAAAGATAGCACTGGGTAAAAAATGGTAGCACAAATCAAGGGGAACGATAGGGGATTAATTATTGATTTTTCCGTCGGTCGCCTCCGATAGCCGTCGACGACAATGGGCCTTGATTTGCGGAGATGAAACTGTGTTTATACGAACGATCGATGCAAATTAGCTTTGGCCGGCCGGCGGCGGCGGCGGCGGCGGCGGCGAGTCGTCGATCTCCTTTGTTTGAGGGGCAGGCGGCCAGGCGCCGGAGCGCCGTCGCTACACGCCGCCGTCCGTGCTCTGGGCTGTGTGCCGGCCCTGTTTGCTCCACACACGGCGCAGATCAGACGCGGCTCACGTTACCCGTCGCGTCGACCACTTAGATTGGGCCAACAGTGGCGGATGGCCGCCGCCGCGCCGCCGCGCTCACCCCTCCCTGGCGCCGTGACCTGTTTGAGCTACTGATTCAGCTGTTTGGTCAGCGGCTGCATGAAAGCCGGCCGAGTAAATTGCCGGTAATTAAAAGTCATTGTTTCGGGTCGGCGGCGGCGGCGGCCAGGTGGCGGGCGCCGATGACATGAGCTTCTGCCGGTCGGCCGCTGTCGGCTGCGCCGCGCCCGACGCGCAAACAGATTGATGGATTACGGGGAGCGGTGAGAGCGCCGGGAGAGGAGGAGAGAGAGAGATGTCCTCCGCGGCGGGAGCGGCCGCGGGCCGACATCCATCAGTCGTGTCGCTGTCGGCGGCGTCCGACACTGAGCGGCGCGGCGCGACCCGGCCGCGCCGGCAGTGGAACCGTGCTGTCACGACGAAATGCACCGCACGCCCCCACCGGCGCTCTGTGTGACCTGTCCGCAGGATTTTTGAATAGTGTCCAGTGACTCAGTGTTGCCCAGTGTCGTCTAGCTGATCAAAAAAAAAAAACTATAAAAATGAAGCACTGCAAAAAATGTGCTGGAAAATGCATATCAATTCAATATTTATCGTATGTGACGTTTACCGTGCCGACTGGCCACATTGACCCCTCGTCCAAGCCACGCCACCCAGGGTCTTCTCCGGGTCAACAGATTCCCCAACGCGCGCCTCTCATTGTTTGCAATGCGCTTTCGGTGGGCGTCGGGCCTGGGGTGTGCGGGTAATCCGACCATCAGCGCTCGCCGCGCGCCGTGCGCCGCCCGCCGCTGTCTCGGTCAATATTTTGTAAGAAAGTGTTGAGTTTCTGTTGTGCGGGCGCGGCTGGAGGCTGCCTCGCGCGCCTCGGGGCGCGCTGACGGGAATTGTTTGGCCGAATGCCACTCTGTTGACGGAGGTGCTCCGTGACTTCTCGGCGACCAACCGCGTCGGACTCGCCTACCGTGTCCACTGCCGCGCCAGCAGTGTCGCGCTGTGCCAACTGTCGCGCCAAGAGTGTCTCTGGGCGGCGCCAGAAGCCCCTTGTTGTTCACACGGCCTGAAACGGCTGGCGCAGACGACCTGAGCCGCATTAAATATCGCTCACTTTGAAGTCGGCCTGTTCAAAGTGTCTGCTGACACATCGTGACATTCTTTTGTCTCATTCTCACTCCCTATAGAACTAAACTTGCCCTTACTGTACCGGTGTGATCACATGGTGCCAAGTGAGTGACCACTGCCTGGTGCAGCAGCTCAATACTGAGCCCCCTGGTGCCGCAGCTCGATGTCGAACTGTCTGGGGATCGGCCGGCCGGCAGCCCGGCTCCCCGGCGTCCCATTACCACCGCCGAGCCGATCCGACCATCTACGAACAATTGGCCAAATTCCCGGCGACATATTGCACCATCGAGCCGGCGACAGGGCCGGCGCCTGATCAGCGCCCGCCGCCCCAGTCGCCCCACGCTAACTGCAGATTAAAGATGACCGCCGGCGCCCGCCGCCAGGCCAGACCGACAGTAAAGCGTCCCTATCTGCGCTCATCCGGCCGGCGACGCGACGCACCAACATAAAGATAAACGCAGATACAGCGGTAATAGAGCGCGGCGCCGCGCCGGAGCGCTAATGGACGCGGCGGCCGGCGCGGGCGCCCTTCGACGCTACCGCCGCGCCGACCCCGGCCGGCCGCTGCCGCCTGCTGTCGGCTGCCGCTGTTGTCGCCGCTTCTCGTGTCGAAGGATCGACCTGCGGCCGGGCGCGGTGTCGGCGCGTGCGACTCACCTTGCGTGATCGCGCCAGAGGCGACGAAGACAGAGGTATCAGGGGCGCGTGCGGGGACGCCGGAGCTCATTATGGACGGGTCGCGGCCAACACGCCAGGCGCCGCTGCGTCGGTCGGCGCCGCCCGTCCGCAGTCCCGGGCGACCGCGACCTATGATAACACGGCCCGGGCTGTGACCGAGCACGCGCCTGCACGCCGTGTCACGCGCTGTCATCCAGGTCACGTGGTGCGGCGCGGTGTCACGAACTGGGTCACATGACCAGTCACACTTGCACATCATGTTGTCACATAAAGCAATGATGATTTGACGGGGCACATGTAGGTATGCTCAAAGAAATAATGTACAGAACGAAACTCGATACTCGAAGACAGTACCTTATATAACACTCCGAATGGCGACCAGCCCTCATTGTGCAAAGTAGCTAAGATCATGGTCGTTCTGAACGGCACTGGAACCTTCTCTGAAGCAATAACGTCCCTTTGGGGAGACTGGCGCGGCTGGCTCTACGACACCTTGGTGTCCGACCGGCGCGGTCCAACTTGGCCCCGGAGCAGACCGGAGCGGCTCGGAGCGGCTCCGACCAGCCATCGACCGGTCCGAGACGACCAGTAACTGGTGCAGACGTAATTAGAGTGACAGCACTGGCGCCCCGACGGAGCACCGGCTCAACTCCGGCGCCGCCGCGTACTTCCGCCACAGTTGATGTGTCGAAGTTAGCACGGGCTATTTCGTATATTTATAAATAAAAACGACCAGGAATCTATAATCATGCTGGTGTGCGATGTCGGCGGGTATGTCTTGAGGGATACTTTCTTGTGGTGGAAGGTTAGCTAGTAATTACGTTACTTGATACCGAGCAATGCAGCACTAAGCTAAAAGTTCGGTCCTATCGTCCAATTACGGTGCCGGGTATCGCCGGGCCGGCCGGCCGGCGGCGGTTTTTTAGCGGCGTGTCTGAGGCGAGCGCCGCTGACGCAGCGCCCGCGCCGCCGCGTCGGTCAGTGATTTCCACCGGCCAGACACGGTGAAATTGAGCTGAAGCCGGCGTGAGCTGGTTACAGACGCTCCCCTTTGCCGGCCGGCGGAGGGGACAGTTGGTTCGACTCGGTTCGACCGATCGCCACCAACCGACCGGGTCGTTAGGGCCGTACTGTGGACACTGCGGTCCGCCGACGGTCCGCTAACGACCCGTCACCGGTCCGTCAACGACCCGTCAACGGCCGCCGGACGGCGTGGCGACGGCTGTCATTGGCGAGTCCCATTGGGCCCGGCCGATATCGCGGCGCGTCGGGCCCCAATGACCGTCGGTATGCATAGCTCAGGCGGCCGAGCGCCGTCCGAGCGTGTCCGAGCGTCGCGGCGCCGACCGCACGTCGACGCCGCGCCATTTCTGTCGACACGGCCGGCCGCCGGTAAACACGTAATGAGTGAATTATAGAGTGCAGCTCGCGAGCTTCATCAGACGACCGCTCCATAACGCAGCGCGTCGTCATCGATGCAAGGTCGCGCGCGTCAAATCCGGCCCGGACCTTCGATTTCGGACGGGAATGTAATGTTTCTTCGATTTAAGTTGTACTTACTGCTGTTGAGTGCTGAGGACACTGGAGCTGACCTTTGGCCTTATCATGCTCGTGGTGTAGGGTAGGAGTGGTGTCTATGTGATGCGTGATCTGTCGCCGGAAATAATTGGCTTCCGATCCGGAAGTCATGCATTGAGAATCGAGCGACGTCTAAAAGGCACTACGCAGTCGTTTCGCCTCAACCAAAATCATGTATACCTATGAAGTTACACATTGTGAGAATTTCCCTGCAGGGTCTCATGGTCTAAATGTCAGAAATGTTTGCATGTTTGTCACAGCCATGCTTTCCGTAGTTGACTGAGTTTGCATCAGCATTCGGCGCTCTGGGTGTCGCCGCTGGCTGCACGCTGTCGCCGGCGCCGGGCCGAGTTCACCTCTCCCGGAACATCAACACTGTGTCTGTGGTGACGGGAATGCAGCGGCGGCGCGCTGATCCGGCATTGTTCCCTGTGCGTTCACAGCAGACCATCCTGAACTCGATGCACAAGTACCAGCCGCGCTTCCACCTGGTGCGCGCCAACGACATCCTCAAGCTGCCCTACTCGACGTTCCGCACCTACGTCTTCAAGGAGACGCAGTTCATCGGCGTCACCGCCTACCAAAACGAAAAGGTACGTTCATTTCTCGAGTAGATATTGTAGTCTCGTACTATTACTTTGTTTGTCGAATGCATTGGGTACTGTTGTGGAACTATGCGATAATGTAGGGGGTCAGGCCTGCTGGATTAGATTCGTAGGCCTTAGTGATTCAAGCGGAGCACGCCGCGCCGAACTTATGAAACGGTGCCGCACGGCCGATCGGCATGCCAATCTGTGAATGTGAAATCGGATATCGCATCTCATGTGCATATGTCGCCGTGTACTGTATGGAAATATGCGTACATCGGTCAATCGTTATACAAATCGGCGTCTAAAATCCCCGACCTGCTGGGACGGTGGCTGTATCCTGGTCGGTAGAGGCTGTTACCGCACCCCGCCGCGCCAGGGGGTGCTACCGCCCGACACAGCACGCGCATACGCATTATACGCGCACCAGCACCGGCGCGGTCTGAGGCTGACCGGCCCTCCGCACCTCCCGGCATACAATACCGATACAAAGGCACCCCACAGCTATCCGGCGGCGTCACACAGTGGCGGCATCACACAGTGCATCTCCGACACACCTGGCGATGTCCCGGCGAGGAGCCGGCTGATGGTGGTCAACCAAACCTCCAAAGCGGGGCTCCGGCGGCGGCCGGCGGTGCTGAGCCCCCGCCGGCTGGCCGCTGGGACTTTCGCGGTGATGGCCATCTCACTCGCGTGCCATCAAAGACGCTCAGGTGCCGTTAGACGAGCCCCGGCGCGCCGCTGAGCTCGCGATGCGAACACGACGCACGCGATTCGCGCCGCGCCGCCTCTGCCGCGCCGCCGCCGGATTAGCTGTATTATTTGGCTGTGACGGACAGGTGCCGGTGCGCGCTCGGCCGACCGGTCAGCCAGGCGTTAAAGTCACGAAGCAGGGTGCACGGCGTCCGTTGTGGCGCGGCGGCGGCGTGGGCGGCGCGGCGCACGACTCGCTGCGGGACGCCCTCGGAAGCGGTGTCAGCTCACCGCTGGTGATAGACCGGTGATAGACCGGTGATAGCGGCCGATGGCGGCGCGATGGCGCGATAGGCGGCGCGTTTCCGGCCGGAGCTCCTCTGCGACGGGAGGGCGGACGGTGCGGCGGCGTCCGATCGCGCGGATCGTGCGCGCCCGGCCGCAATTCACACGCGCACGGCTGGCAGAGAGGGGTGGTTTCCGGGAGAGCTTCCGGCCCGGTAATTAATTTGACGCGGCGACCCTGTTTGCGTTGTGCTCGCTGCGGTCTAACCGAGCACCACGACCACCGTCCGTGTATTGCACTATGACCAGTCGGGAGTTCAGCGAACGGGTGCAGCCGTGCCGCGGTAGGACAGATGTATGACCAGACAGACGTTTGTCGGGGCTCTCCCGGTCACGACAATGACCCCGCCCGGCCGCTCGACCGGTGTCCATTCCCCAGCGCAGCTCGCCAGACAGTCGAGATATTTCTCCGCACGCCAGGCTATAATTATGCAAATTTACAGTCGGAATTATTCGCACGACGCTACAACTTTATAAATAGTATACTGCCGGCGAAAGGGCGCCAGTTTGCGCTCGACTCGAATTAAGTGTTAATTTTTGGCGTCACGATAATCGTCGCAGAGTGTGGGGCCGGGCCGCAAATTACACCCCGACACCGCAAATTTTACACGGCGTTTCCTCGGCGGCCGTGATTACGGCGCCGCCAGGGGATGACGGCCCGGCCGACGGGCCGACGCCGCTAAATCAATTGTGTAACAAGGCAATTGGTGGGCCGCGCCACTGCCGGCCGGCAGGTCTTCTCACCCGGCCGCGGCGGGCGGTGGTAGGCGCTGCGGCTGTGACCGCGGCGCCGTCCGGCGGGCCGTCCCGCCGCTGCACTCTGCACTGTGCACTGGACAGTGCACTGTGCACGAATGTGTCACGACGCGCAGGCGGAGCGGCCGGCGCGGCGGCCAGATGCAGCGGCGCGGCACGGCCCGCGACGACCGGCCGGTGGCTACCGGCGGCCTCACAAACGGCCGCGATGACACAAACGGCGGCGGGAAGCTGAAACATGTTTCAATAGTCGTCACATTTCAAACATGTATGCCTATCGTGACACATGAAAGGTAAACGAAGTGATAGAAGATACGTTATAAATTGCGAATGTAGGTATTGGTGTAAGACCTAGGCTTTATTTTCTGATTTTGTTTTTGCGTATGACGAAATAATCATTTGGCTAATTTTCTATTGTCCTATCGCGATCACTTTCTGAGCGGCTCGCACCACACGGCTTAGTGCAGTGCTCAGCATACCCTGTCGTTGTGCTGGCGCTGCACCGCTCTGAGCCCGTCTGTATCGGCGGCGCGCCCGTCAGCTATCGGCACTTACCGAGTTACGCGGAGCGCGCGGCGCCGCAGCGCGGGAGCCGCACAGACGCCCGCTGCAGCGTACTTCGTGTCCGATCGACCGGATTAAAGCTGCATTGAAGGGATTACTTTCATCTTTGATTGCAGAGCAAACACTATCACCTCACCCGCTGACATTTCACATCGGCCCTTTTAACAGGCGATTAAGAAGACGCCGCCTTCAGCTTTTATTTGCATAAATCTGATTAAGACGCCGCTTAATGGTCGCCAAAATAACGGCCACGCCAGTTGGGGCGATAAAAGGGAATACTTTATGGCGGCGCCGCGCCATTGTACACCTTGTTGCGCTATAAAGCGGCCCTTAGGTAGCTACCTGCGACGGCTCGTATATTTTTCGGTGTGGCGCACCTCCCGACGGACGCGCCGCTGTCTCTGCGGCGCCACTAATGTGTTGTTTTCCCACACGCCGGCCGGCCCTATATCGACGCCCCACGCCCGGCTGTCCGGCGGCGGCGGCGGCCGCAGCTCAAAGCCGATCAGGTGCGCCAGTCGACATGAATTAATCAGACAGGTACAGGGGCGCCGGCCGTCGACGGGGGGCCGGACGGGCCGGTGCCGCGGCCGGATCGACTGTATTCCGACCCCGCTTATGAGCGGTCGACACTGCGCGCGTTGGAATAGCTCTCCTGGCATGATCCGGTGCGCTTTACTCGCCTTGTTAGCCGGTGACGGATGGCCGGCTGACACGCGAGCGCTGTGTACTCGGCGGCGGCTGCAGCGCCGGCCGCCGGCCGCCCTGTCACGCCGCCCGCTATCTGGGCCTCGGCAGAGGGGGTGCGGTCGGGGCTCGGTCGGACCGGCCAGCACCCTGTGGTCGCCGCGGCCGGGGCCGATGACGTGGCGGTCCACTGGCGGCCGCAGAGGGCGCACTTTGTGGCGCCACGCAGCGCCGCAAACGCCGCGCACCACGGCCGACTGCGTCGCTATCGCCGCCGCTGCCGAACGCGGCGCACTTTGATCGCCGCTCGCCTCACTGACCCGTCGTCTTGTTTCAGATCACCCAGCTCAAGATTGACCACAACCCGTTCGCCAAGGGCTTCCGGGACTCTGGCGCCGGAAAACGAGAGAAAAAGTGAGTATCATTTTTTTGTGCTCCGGCATCTCCTCTGCCTCAGTGCCACCACAAAAGCCCTCCTCACTCTAATCCCTCATCTGCTCGATTATGGAGTAGCACCGTGCGGCGCGAACTCTCGCGCCTTGGAGTGCCTCTCGACGCGGCCTTTGTCACCGAGCAGGGGTGTTGTATGACGCCCTTCGACGCCCAGTGTGCTAATAGCCGCGAACGCTGATACAGATTCGCTACAGCGCCGCGCTCTGTCTGACCGAAAGGGGTGTGATGACGACGGGCGCCGCGCGCCGCGGCCGCACAATGCACGCCACAATCGGCACAAAGCCCCGTTTGGACACGGTGTAATCGGGGCGAATGCCGCCCCGAGATCAAGCGGGCGGAAGGGCCCGATAGGAGCTGAAGAGGAGCCAGGGGTGCGTGGTAGCCGGAGGGGTGCGTACCGCCGCCGGCGGCTGGCAGCCTGCAGACTGTGTGCTCCTGCTGTGCTGGCTCGGTTCAATTTCATATCGGCCTCCACCCAACATCTTTGCTATGGCTCTCAGTCCGGTTAATCCAAAGCCGTTCGTCCTGTCCGCCTCTGTCCGGTGGGGTCCACTGTTCAGACGGGCTCTGTCCAGTGTGGTCCACTGTTCAGACGGGCTCTGTCCGGTTTCGTGAGCCCCAGTCGGCAGTTGTTCCACTGTCCTCGGTTTCGGCACTTCGTCACAATCCGCATGTCAAACTGCAAACGACAAACCCGCGATGTTTTCACCGCCCTCCCAACCGAAGCTGCAAAGCCTTGTAAATGTAAATGCAGATAAAAGTCGTCGTCCTGTCGGCTTCCAAGCATCGACAACAAGCTTGGAATGGACCGCAGTAAAAGTCGTCACACTCGGGCGTCCAAATGACACGGCCGCACGTCACTGTTTGGTGACAGCGTTGTCACATAGGAACAAACAGCACATCATCACCGGTCTGGGCAGCAGGATTTCCACTGCCTTGGAGAGGTAACGCCTAAACCAGACAGCTCCTGTAGCTCTGCCGCGATTTCTGCTGCAAATTCAGGCCTGGGGGTGTTGATTTCCTACGGGAGGGGTTCTTTCTTTATCTGGACGGCCGAACCGGTCACTATTGAGGCCCCGCTGGACGAGGAGGAACCAGCCGGCGTGTCAGCCCTCTCGATGTGTGTCCTTACGCCCCAGTGCCGATGGGGTGCGGCGACCACCTCCACAATGGCCCCGTCCCGCGGCCGCGCCAGCTCTATGTCGTGTCGAGAATTAGCCGACACAATGGCCGCCGTGCTAATCCTCGGCGGTGACTTTGAAGGCGGTCATCGCGGGGCGGTCTTTCCTGCCGCCGCGCCGCTCCAGAAGGCCTCGCCGCCGCCCGGCAACGCCTCGCTGGTTCGCCGGCAACGCCTCGGCGCCCGGCGCTGCGCCGGCCGGGTGACTCGCTGATGACCGACCGTCGCAGCCCGGTGACTCGTCACCGACCAGGTCACGACCCGGTCGGCCTATTGTCACCTGACGACAATCGCTGGGCCGCCGAGCTGTCTGCCGGCCGGCCCGCCCGAGCCGTCCGCTCGTCTGTCCTGCCCGTCTCGCCGGCCGCCGGGATGTGATTCCGATTAGCTGGCCGTGTGTTTGGAGTAACTCCACGTAAAAACGAGTCGCTCGGCGCGGCTATTGTCTGGCGACGCTCAGAGGCCGACCGACGTATAACTGTCGCCGCTGAGTGATTGACGACGCCCGCTGACGGCCGCCTGTCATGGCTCCTAATCGACACAAAAAACGCGGCCGTCGCGGCGCGGCCACCGTGCAGCCGCCGACCTCGACGCGCGGATCAAAGCGCGCCGCCGATACACCTCGCCGCCGTCACCGGCACCGGCCAGTGACGTCATAATCGGATGACGCCACGCGCGCCGGCAAGGTGGCCGGCAGTGACGGCGGTGACGGCAGGGCGACGGTAGCTGTCGAGCGGGTGAAACGGGTCACTGCCGGGTCGGACTCCAGAGGGAGACGCCCCTGGCAGAGGCTCGTCACGAGCTGTGACGTGTGACGAACCGAGGGCTTGGTTTGATGTGACGCGGATGTGACGACGTTACTGGGCGGAGACCGCCACCCGCTGATGGAAAACTCCTCGAGCGCCGACTTCAAAGTCCTGGACGGCTCGGTATTCACCGGGGCGCGAGGTGCATCTGACCCCGGAGAGCACCCTCCCCCGCACCCCCCCCCCCCCCGCGGCCGCTGCACCCCGCGGATGGGGATTTTCACCGTGCAACGCGATATATTCGGCTTCCAGCAGGACAAAATCGGATTGTCGGCGGCGGCGGTGTGTTTTCAAAGGGCGCCGCGCACTGTCGGTATCCGGCAGCGGCGTCTGATGTCGGCTGAGAGAGCTCTTCGGTCGCGAGCCGCCGTCGCTGGCTCCGAGCTGGGAGCTCTGAGCTCTGAGCTCTGAGCCAGAGCTGAGGGTTCAAGGTCACAAAGTGCTGAAGCTTCTGGTTGTAAGAATGTGAGATGCATCTAGTTTAGGCGTGCGATTATCCAGGGGCAGCTCGGGGCTTGTCACGAGATGTATTCGACAAGGTGCTAAAACTTCGAGGAAAAGACAATAACACATATGACATAACCATAATCTATTGTCTGGTGCAGCTTGAATCGAGAAGAAAGCGCATTTCTATGTGCTTCGGGTCGACACCTGTCAGTGTCAAGCTGGATGTGAAGGTTTTGCAGTTAAGACATTGAGCTGGGATTCGGAGTTTGTCGACTTTGAGTCCTGTTGACTCAGTCTGGGCGGCAGCCCACCCACGAGTCGGGAGTGAGTCGGGAGGCCGCCTCTGTGAGACCGCCGGGACCTCCGCTCTGTGACCACCTTGTCGAGCCCGTCTCGGACTGATAAAATGGTCCACGGAATGTCGGCAATTACTCTGTCTCGGTGACGGATGTCCACCGCATTATCTGGCGCAAAGTGGGGCCGATATCACCGGATAATGACAGCGCCGAGGGGCGCCGGTGTACCGAGCACCTTTCACCACCGAATTGCCCCTGTCGCGTTACCGAGATTGATATAATTCAATTGAGCGTCACACGAATGTGTTCAAATTGCCACCCAGTGGTAGTTTGTTTGTGTTGAGCCCGTGACGTGTCAGTAAATGTGTTGGCGTAGCCTTGAGCGTTATGAGAATCATATATTCGTAAATGTCAAGACCTCACTTTTTCATGTCACCTTTACATTACAGTTGGCTGTACGAGAAAATCACTATGTTTAGCTTTATGGTGGTTCAGCATGTATGGACCGTGACGAAAGCTGAGTACACAGGCGTTACTTGAGTGGTGATGGATTGTGCTGTGATACCACCTGTGTGATTGTGTGGCATATACTAACTCGGCGGTCTTTCCCGCAGAAGCCAGCGGCCCAACGCCCTGACGGCCGCCTCCCCGGGCGGGGGCGGCGGCGGCGGCGGGGGCGGGGGCGGCGCGGACGACTCTGGCCAGCTGCACTCGGACCAGGCGCGCTCCTCGGACGAGCGGGACGAGGACGAGGACGAGCGCCTGCTGGACGTGGTGGGCGACCGCGGCTCGCCGATGCCGCCGACCACCACCACGCTGCCGCCGCAGCTGCCGCAGCTGGGCCCGCTGGGCCAGCTGAGCCAGCTGCCCCAGCTCGGACAGCTCGGACAGCTGCCGCAGCTGCCGCTGCCGCCGGCCGCCGCAGACAGCCCGCCGCGCTCCGTCTCTCCACCCATCAAACCAGGTAGGCAGTGCAGAAACTGCTCATCTAGTGTCACAGTCACACCGTGGCGGCAGCGCACTGTGGACCGAAACGCCAGCTGTGTCGGTCATTTTATCAGGGCCGCAGAGGGAAACAAAGGCGGCACGACACAGGGCACCGTGTAACCATTTGCTGCTGTTTTTGTTCGAGGTGTGATATTAACACGAAACTTGTTTTCACTCATATTCTGGATGTTGATGGATTCCAGTCCATTTATCTGCCGTGTTATCTTGCTCTATCACCAGCGCCGAATTAATTGCCATTAATTACGAAACATGCTAATTTGTGTATGTCGTACAAAAAAGGAACTGGCGCCGAGCTAAGAGTGTTTCGCTGCCTGGCGTGTGTTATCGTCTCTCATCTCAGCCGGATCGTCAGATAAAATTAGCCATTAGCGCTGTGGTCGAGAGTTGGTCTAACAGCAATATGTCGCTGTCATTAGTCGCGAAGAGATGTGTCGGCGCCACTGACACGGTCGGTGTGTGGTCCGCTCATGAGAGCACCTGTATCCTAAAAACGGCGCCGCCGCCGCTCCCAGGCTGCGGCTGCGTGGGGCCCGAAAACCAGTTTGGCGGCCACCTCGGAGCCATGAGATTCGCCGGCCAGCCCGCCGGAGCAGCCGTCCTGTGCGATCCGCGCCGCCCCATCTAGTGCTCTAATTAACGGCAAAATATGACGCCTTCCACGCGGCGCTCCAGTGGGTGCTAAGGTGTAATCTTTTTTAATAAGCCACATGTTGGCCTGGGATTATGGCCGGTGGTATCACACGTCATCTGGACACTTATACTGCGGTGCGGCTCGGCCGGACCGTCTGCCTGGCTGCCTGCAAAAGACTCGACACGACAGGCCGCCAAAATACCTCCCCGCGCCACCGTCAACAACGCTCGACAGCCAGCAGCGGCGGGACGCTCGACCGAAGCGTCCCTGCTGCCACGCCCACCCAATAGCTGGAGCGATTGAAATATGCCAAACAGTCCCAGTATCGGAAAATAAGGAGTGCCATATCTCAAGTTATTGATCCAAAATTATTTTGAGCAGCAGCAATGAATAGCCACCTATCCCAACATAAGCCAGATCCTTGCATTCTACCATCGCTTCGTCGTTGTTTTCCACTGGAGTAGCCGTCAGTTGCTGACCCACCCTGTCCCTGTGTTGCAGAGTCCAAGGAGGAGTCGCGCCAGGCGCCGGCGCCGCCGCCGCTCTCCTTCCGCCCGTACGACGACAGCCCGAGCAAGAAGCGGCCGGCCACCGCCGAGCCAGAGCCCGAGCGGGAGCACGCGGACGCCGAGCGGGAGCAGCGCTCGGGCGGCGAGCAGGAGTCGGAGCCGGAGCCGGAGCGGCGCCGGCCCGACAGCGAGCGCAGCAGCGGCGACGCCAGCGACCGCGACGGCAGTGACGCCGAGTGCGGCAGCGCCTTCCGCAGCGTGCGCTCCGACGACGAGCGGGTCGGCGGCGCCACGCGGCCCAACGTGTCCGTGGGACCGCCGATGCAGCCGCCGCACCTGCTGCCGTACCTGTACAACCCGGGCCTGTACCCGCACCCGGGCATGGGCCTGCCGGGCCTCGGCCACCTGCTGCAGCAGAATGCGGCCGCCGCAGCCGCAGCCGCCGCCGCCGCCGCCGCGCAGACCTCGCTGCCGCTGAATCTGCTGAGCCAGACGTCGTCCCCGCTGACCTCGACGGCCGGTTCGCCGTACCTGGGCGCCGCCCAGCTCAACCCCAGCATGCTGTTCAACGCGCACCTGGCGCTGGCCGCCTCCGGCCACTCGCTGTTCGGCTCGCCCGGGTACGCGGGCCTGGCCGGCCTGGGCGCCGGCTCGCCGCCGGGCGCCGTGCACGCCGAGCGGCTCAAGGCGGCGCGCTTCTCGCCGTACAGCGCGCCGCTGACGACCACCACCAGCACGGCCAGCTCGCCGCTGGCGGCCGCCAGCCAGCTGCTGGCCGCCGGCGGGCCGTCCGCCTTCGAGACGGTGACGCGGCCGCGCGCCGGCTCAGCCTCGCCGGTGGCCGCGCCGCCCGCGCACGCCGCCTCGGTCGCCTCCCAGCTCAAGAATATCGAGAACATGGTGAACGGTCTGCACCGGCGACCGTCGACCGAGAAGTGAGCGACGGCCCCTGCCGCCGTCCGCCCGCCCGCTGCAATATAGATAGAATTTCCATCGAGTGTTACAGGGTACGTTATGTTCATCTCATATGCGCTGTCGCGAGCCGCGCCGGCCCGGGCCGCGAGCTGCCGCTCCGGCTCAGAGGCGCCCCGCGTGCGAACGTGGGTGTGTTCGAGTCCGAATGGGAGACTGTAAGGGGTAGTATCCTTGCGAGCGCTCCGCATGTGACCGCCGTGGATGGCTAGGCGCATGCGGAGCGTTCGTGTTTCTGTATGCGTGTCAGTGTTCACCTGAATGTGCCAGATTGTGCGGCGATGCGTATCCATACGGAAAGACAGCGAATATCTGCACGGGTCGTCCCCAGCGCTCGGCCCTTCCCGGCCGAGACGGGGCGGCCCGGAGTGTGGATGGCATGTGCACTCCATAGTCTACTTAATCGGGCTGCTATTTATTGGAATGTGTTACCGCATTGCTTGCGACGGCGGCCCGCGAGTCTGGCGGCTGGGGTGCGCGCCGTGGCGAGCTCGTCCCCGCGGCGGGCTGTCAGCCTCTTGTTCCGAGAAGTCAGTCATCTTTGGGTTTAGCGGTCCGCTCAGTATCGGTTCTGCTTCATGTGCATGCATTGGATAAGCGCGATGTTCTGTATTCCAGAGGAGGCTTATTTTATTCTGGGATCGCGTTCATAAGCAGGAATAATCAAATTCTATATGGATCTTTGGACGTGTAAGCTATTTTTGTTTTCTCTCTCTAGCCTTCCGTAGAAATCGTGTTTAGTAAAATGTGTAAATATGCACAATGTCTCACTGTTGGATGTTCTTGTAGAAACCAAAGATATATATTGTCAATACCACGTGGCCATTATACTTCGTGCTGATATAAATGTATTTCCTGTTTTGGCACACATCCCTTATGGTAAGGGAACCTTGCCACCGGCCGCGGCCCCCTGGCCGTTGATGTGTGTGTATTTGTGATCGGGGAAGGCTTGTTTTTGTGTCGACTGACGCCAGGTCGGTCTCCGCTTGGGCACAGAGACGGTAAAGCGACGAAATGATTAGATGGTAAATTGACTAACTTCTTATTTTGTTATCACGCGCATTTTTATTATATTAAATGCGAGCAGAAAGCTATTTACTTTGTAATGTTGCAAACAGAAATATATTTATTTTGTTTATCTGTAAATTATATATTTACAGCTCCTTGGTCTGTAGTTCGTCATTTTCTCGTCTCTGTGCCCGGGCTCATTTTCGGGAGCTACGTGTTGACCTCACCCACACTAACGTGTAACGCTAGAGTGTTCAAATGTGATACGGTTCCTGAAAGCTCGAGACAAATAAAGGTTTAAATAGACTCGGCGTTTGGCTGCATTTCGGTGAACCGTGAACGGCGCTGGACCGTGAATGACTGAAGCCGAGAGTTGCTTGATATGAAGAGTCAAAAGGGGTCGAAAACAGGGGGCGAGAGTCTGAAGAGCCCGGAATGATATGCGACTATGCTATGAAGTAGTCAGGCTTGCATAGCCGCCACAACCGTTTTATATTATCGGGGAACTATTCTGCTTTCAACTTCAAACAAATTGTGTGACAAGAAAACGGATGAATTGTTTTGATGAAGGCATGCATTCAATTAACCTAGGTAAGGATATTCCAAAAACATAAACCTAAATCCAGTTTAGTTGAAAATCAGTGTTTTATGAGACATCACAAGCTTGTTCGCCCATGATGAGTACGCATTGTTGCCAGCTATCAGCAGCGCCATTTAAAATACAGTTACCCAAGGCAGTTGTAGGCGGTGACGGCTATTCGCTGCGGGTCCAGTGTCCACATTACCCTTGGACCACTTATATTACGAGTAGCTTAGTTTGAAGAAAAACAACATTTTTTTTCAATACCTAAAAATCCATGCACTCTGGCCTGGTCCCATGAGCCAAAGGTGGTCATCAGCGTGAAGGAAAACAAAGGTAGTTTGGTGCATAAAGCAACAGATAACAGCAGTGGTTCAGCCGGGAAGGCTGGTCAGGTCCGTCTTGCCCCACTTACCCTACCTTCTCCTACCACCTATCGGCGAAATTTAATTATAAAAATTGTGTCAGCAATAAAAAATGCGATTACTCTCTGACGAAATTAACGACTGTGTGACACCAATTTTGCAAGGAAGCGTTTGTGTGACCGAACGCACTTCACAACGCACTGTTTAGGCTGAAAGGGCGCAGGTAGCACGAATGCTACATACCGTCCTAGCAAGCTATATCGTTACAGTTTGCTTGGTGGCAACTGGCATCCCGTATATCGGATGTGTTTTCTCAGAGCCTAAAGAATGAGCAGAAAGGAACTGTCCTTCATAAGTGTGGTGGTTCATCCATCATTAGAAGGAAGCCGAATTATTTTAAACGGCAGCTACGTAGCGATAGCTGGGTCCGGATGTAGCCTTCTACTTCAACTTCGGAGGCACTTAATTCATTTCTTCCAAAGTACCTTTAACCCGCGCCTCGTAGGGGAGGGGGCGATTTCGCCCCCCCCCCCTCCCTGTCCTTTTCCGTAGATATCTTCTAAACGGCTATACCTAGATATCGTCACTAAACTTTCAGGACCCCTCCGAGCATCAACTTTACACATTGTGACCAAAATTTTCCAGAAGCTGTGATAGGTTGGCCGCAAATGACGTCAGAATGACGTCATGTTCTGCCATTTTTGACCCAAAAAGAGGTTTCGCGGGAAGAGCTGTCAGCCCTACAGCTTTGAAAATACCGAAAAAAATTGAAGTGCTAAAGGGTGTAGAATGATCTGGGCTACAAAACTGTTACCCCGTTTTTTTAATTTTGGGTTTTTGATCCCCTAGAATCAAAAAAGGAATTTTTTGGATATATTACCCAAAAAAACTAAAAAGTTTTTCGGATATAAAAAAACGGAATATATGTGATAGTCCATGCCGTGTTTTATCTACATACTAAATTTGAGGTCGATACCTACCACTTTTTTGGCGAAGTCATAGCGAAAAAAAACTTCAAAATTGATGACGTCAAATTTTTAAACTTAATGTTTAGCAATTCTAGACCACGTAGCGCAGAACAAAGACCTTCATTAGACTCCCCGTGACGAGCTGCATCGAATCGATACCCATTTTATGCAAATATATCAAGTTTGAAATTTGACCTAATTTGACCTGACCTTGACCTGACCTTCACCAAAATATAGCCTTAACTGGCCCTAAAGGTTGCCTGACCCACATAATGGATCATAAATGGATCATAAAACATTTATCACACTACATTTTCGTATTGTGACCCCCAGTGAACTGACCTCTGTGACCTGACCTGATATTAGTGACCTCAACTAGCAAGATAGGTATGTGTTTGACGGACAATTCCACATCAATGATTTTCAATGGCATTCCCTTTTACTCGATTTTACAATACATTTCTTGAAATGCCAGCAAACGGTGAAAATTCCACCTGTGACCTGACCTGTGACGTCATCAGTTAGGCCGAAGTCAATGAAATTAGGTCTCAAGGTAGTTACGTGGTCGAGCTATCCAACGCCGTTTGAATTTCGAAAATCGGCCTGTACCTCTCCGAGATCTCAGGGGAGGCCGAACCCCCCCCCCCCCTACGGGTGGTAGGGTCCGCCGATAGCCCTACGGGGCGCGGGTTAAGGCAGTGGAATGCCTCAAATACCAAAATATATCTCTCATTCAAAGGTTACAGCGTTAAGCGTGAAACAGGCGATATTTTCATTAGACGACTGGCTTTGGGATAGTAAAACCAGTATACCGCCTTTTGGGGCGACTAACGGAGCGAGCGAGAGGGTGGGCCTTGCACGTGCGAAATTGCGAGTGGGTACCTCGAACTGACTTGCGCACGGCACCCTACTAACCGGTCTCTAGCGTTGTACCAAATTTGAGCGCAATCGGCCCAGCCGTTCTCGAGATCTGGAAGCGACACCCTGCACGTGCGCACGTGGTCCCGACTGACTTTTGCACGGCACCCTACTAACCGGTTCCTAGCTGTGCACCAAATTTGAGCGCAATCGGTCGAGCCGTTCTCCAGATCTGGAAACGACCCCTGCACGTGCGCACGTGCATCAGCACCCCAACTCTGGCAAATGGATCTGCATTGCCTAGTGGTTGCCTACCTGCATGCCAACTTTGAGCGCAGTTGGCCCAGTTGTTACCGAGATATTGCAACAATTACAAAACTGACACCTCTTCGTTTTGCACGTGGCACGTGCATAAGGGGTCACCCACATGCATCGGGAATAGTCCAATACTTGGTAGAAGGAATGAAGCTACCCTACAAAAATTACCGCATGTAAATCGGTCAAGTTGTTGCTGAGATATAAGCCTCGCAAAAGCGTCCGCACGGCCGGCCGGCCGGCCGGCCGGCCGCTCATACATACTCAGAAATTTCCGTTAAAGGGACTATCCCACCTTTAACATGGGATTTGAGTTGAGATAGCCAAGTTCGCGGCGAGGTTCAGAAACCACTATCTATCTAGGTTGCATCCCCCGCGGCCTCTTGGTGTTGAAGAAATTCGTTCCCTTCATTTGAAAATGGGCCTTGTACAAGGCCCTATCTTCAACATGGAGCGACCGTTAGTGTGACGTCACCTCGTTTAGTCATTCTGATTTAAATGGGTTTGTTCGTTGAAAAATCACTTAAAACTTGGTCTGAACTTTGTTGTGGTGCCTACAGAGTAAAAAGAATCAGCTTTATGACAGCAATTTGGCCTGAGGAAGGAGGTAATTTTGGGCTGTGACGTCACATATTTGAAAGTTTGTGTTTGGAATATGGGAAGCCTAAGATGTTTAATGAAAAATAAATGCCAGAACCGTGTTCCTGGTCATCCAATCTATAAAGTCGGGCACAATTTAACTGGTTTTAACAACATTTTAGAAGGTGGGATAGTCCCTTTAATCTAAGGAAAGACTCCGCTCGCTTCGCTCGCTCCGTAAAAAATATTCTGGATGGGCATGACATACCTAATGTCACTCACTTGAGTCTTCTGTTCGTAGGTACTTGTTCTGTGCAGTCTGTGTCATACATTCAATATTTATCTAAAATAAACCTTTCAAGTAATTTTATCTGCCCAACTTAACTATTAAGATGAATGTCGATGCCTCTGGCACCGGTTTGGGCATGCTGGCAGAGGCATGCACAGCACGCACATTACATTGGGAAAACGAGAGGAATGAAAGCATACACAATATTAGATATAATGATTGAATGAGGACTTTACTCCACAAGAAGTCGTTCGGGTCGGAGCTTTCGAATTGTTTTACAAAGCTTCGTCAGCGTATCGTAATCGGGTTCGGGGGTATCGGTCGAAAAATTGAGGGCGATTCGCCCACAATAGCCGTGTTTACATAGGGTTCCCTTAATCTTCCCCTATTTCTCCCCTATTTTCAGATCGAATTTTAGGCATCATAGCGATCGCGTGTAACGTTGCTATGGGCGCTATTGTTGTTAGAAGCATACAAAGCATCGTTTATGCTGTAAACAATATAAATTGGGCTTATTTAATGCTCGAAATTCAACAATTCATATTTTGAAGTATTTTTATCCTGCCCTTCAATTCCCTCTTTAAGCGACAAATAGGGGAGGATTTGGTAGCGTAGCGCCTTTCCAAAAGCTGCTACGCTACCATATCCAGTGGTTCTCAAACTACCACATCACAAAAGCGGCGTGCTGATTGGCCGGCAATTCCGAATCGTCCGACTGGTGGTCCCCGACTCGACAAGCGCACGTGCGCCGACTGAGGATTTTTAAGTGGCATTAACGCATAAACGGCCGAAAGTCAAGGCAGAAATTCGACAGGTGCGGTGTTCTGATATTGCCGTGGATGTGATTACACCTACTTGAATAATAGCTCAGCCGTTTAAAGTATGTTAAATGCCAGATAGTTTTCTGATTTTTCTTGCTTTGAGCTTTCATGTGCTATCACTTTTACCTCAGTGTCTAGTCTGGAAGCTATTTGGGAGAGCCCTAAAGGTAAGTAAAAATTGCAAACTGCTTCTAGAATGACTTAGTTGCGCCATATTTGTAGTGAAGCGAGGTAAAGGAGACAGAGGATTCCTTTATAAGGGACATTTAAGAGACAAATAGGGGAAGATTAAGGGAACCCTATGTAAACACGGTTAATATCGCCCTCAATTTTGCGACCGATACCCCCGAACTAGAGATTGCAATCCCGGAACGTTTTACCAATCCCGGGATCCCGAAAGTTTTTATTTCGGGATCCCGGGATTCCGGGATCCCGGTTTTGTCACCATAGGTCGTAATAATGATTTCCTACTGACAGATTTTGCGTCTTTTAGCTTACCACAAACAAAGAGGCAACCAAAAGTCATCCTTA